CTCGGTCCGAAGAAAAATTTGCTTGTGCTCAGCGAGATGCTCGAGGCCATTGCGTGGCCCGACGCTTGTCTCGTAGCGAATCTTCGGAATGGATTTCCGCTTCTTGGCCAGATTCCGCGCAGTGGCGTGCTTCCCCAAATTCCGTTTGGGGAGTGCTCCCAGTCGGCGTCGAGTTTACGCGCGCAGGCTGATGCCTTAAACGCAGAGACGCTCTGCCGTGTTCGGCGGCCAGCGGGTCTGGAGGACTCGGTGCGAGCGCTCTTTGTAGCAAAATGCGAACAGGAGGTCAGCGACGGCCATGCGAGGTGGCGATCTTTGCCTGGCAATTGCGTCCTCACTGCGCGGTTTCCAGCCGACGAGGGCTGGAAAGGTCACTCTCGCAAAGTGCGGTGCATCGACGATTTTTCGGCATCTCTTATAAATGCCGCCGTGTCTGTGGGTGAAACCATCCAGCAGGACACGCTAGACCGTTTCTTGGCAGTCCTTTGCGCGGTTCTCGAAGCGGGGCCCGGCGGAGCCGCGATACGCAAGGAGGACTTCGTTAGTGCTTTTAAGACCCTCCCGCTTGCTAGTTCCCATCTCCACTTCGCGGTGGTGACGTGGGACTCGGCCGAGAGCCGCGGGCTGGGGCTGCAACTTCTGGCCTGTCCTTTCGGCGCGGTGGCGTCCGTCTACAATTGGGAGCGCTTCGGAGCGGCAATCAGATCAGTTCTGGCTCGCCTGTTTTCCGTTGTGTTCCTCAGGTTCGTTGACGATTTATTCGGCGCAGACCCAGTCGTCCCAGGCGCGCCGTTCCTTGCCACGCCGGCTGGTGCCAGCGAGGTCGCGCGCGAAGTTGTGGAGGAGTTGCTTGGCTGGGAATTTGATGCTTCCAAGCGGGTGTCGGAGGCAACGTCCGCGTCCATTTTGGGAGTGGAGGTCTCTGTGGATTCCGATGCGCAGGCGATCCATCTGCAGATTGCCCTGGCCAAGCTCTCTCAGTGGAATTCGCAAATTCGCGCGATTTTGAAGCGAAACCGGCACCCAGCTGAGGCTAAGAAGTTGGCCGGGCGGCTTAGTTGGGGTGCTTCCGCAGTTTTCGGCCGGGCGGCGCGGGTGCATTTGGCGCCACTTTTCAAGCGAGCGTCCGGTAACTCTTCTGCCCTGACTGGGCGGGTCGCGCGGTCACTGCAGTGGTGGCTGCGTTTCCTCGAGGGCGTGCCGCGGCGCACAGTGCTGTGCTCGTCCCCGGCGGCGCGACGCCGGTGCATTGTTTTCTCGGACGCTACTGGACGTGGCAGTTTGGCATGGGCCATCTGCTTGCCGGACCGGCGTCTGTGGTCTGCGTCCGCCGTGCCCGACGCAGTGTGGCGCTGGGCACGTTACCGGGAGAACCAGGTGGCAACGTGGGAATTAATGGCTGCCATCTGTGCTCTCCACTGGCTGTTAAGCGAGCAGCTCGGTGATCTGGAGGTTCTGCTTTTTGTGGACAACCAGACAGCCCTTGGCACTCTCGTGCGGGGCTCTTCCAGGCAGCCTGATTGGAACGATCTGATCGGCGACCTCTGGCTTCGCGTGGCCAGGGCTGGGATGCTTTTATATAGCTTCTACGTTCCGAGCCATTTAAATCTCGCAGACGCACCCACGAGGCCGCGGGAAAAAGCTGCAGCGCTGGAGGCAATGCAGGCGGCAGGCTTTACGGACGTTCCGTGGAGCTGCCCACCAGACGCCCCGTGGCTCTAGTCTGAAACGTTCACCTGGCGGCAAAAAAAAAAATGAGACGATTTCTGCATCGTCATCTGTTGTGTGGTCGCCGTTGCTCGTCGTGTCCCGCTGGCATCGGGCAGCAGTAGTCAGTAGCCGGTTTGGTTCGAAGAAGGCTGGCGGTGCAAGCCATGCTCCAATTTCTCGACAAAAGCCGGGCTGACACCTTCGGGGAGCGCGTCCAGTCCAGCTCCGCCCGCGACAATGGCCCTGCAGTGCCAGCTCCGAGTGCTGCCAGCTCCGAGCAGAGCGCAGAGCCACAGGATCAGGAGGGGTGCAGTTTGAGAGCGTTGGTCAGACAGGCTGCCAGTGCTCACCCGCCAGGGGTGGTTGTGGACGTTCTCTGGTCAGAGCTGGTTGGCTTTGGCGCCAGAGATGTGTGTGAGTTCGCCGGCATCGACGTCGACGAGGCCCGGTTGGTGTGGACGCCGTTGGCGGGTTGCTCTGCACCTTTCGTTGGGAGATTTCTGCAGCTTTGCGAGGCGGAAATCGCCAGAGAGAGACGAAGCAGGCAGCCAGCGATGGCCTCGCACGGAGCTCCGCTTCCGGCAAGAGGCGGGCAGCCTGGGCAGACGGGGCATCTGGCGGCAGCTTCTGGGCAGGCAGCGGCGCCGGCCGCGGCCAGCAGCATGGCAGCTTTAGCCTTGGTGGCGCAAGCCAGGCGCCGGTGCGAGTACTTGCCTCCAGGCGTGCTGGCTAGTGCCATCCGAGACATGGGCCGGCTGCCAGCGAATCCGTTCTCCCAGCAGGCGCATGCCCCTCGAACAGCTGCAAAGAGAGCTCGAGTGAACACTGGCACAGCGGCGGATTACGATGCGCAGGCCACTTGGCTCGAATTCGCAGGCTGGAAGAGGAGCGCCCCCCAGTACGCCAGCGCGGTGCAGCTCTGGGGCGAGGCAGCAGGCTTGGCCCGCGAGGAACCATGGCCACCGTCGTATGGGTCAGCTTGTGCATTTTGTTCGCTGTTCCGCAGCAGTGCCACATTGGGGAAATATCTCTCGCACATTCGGTCTGTGCTGTCGCTGCTGCGCGTTTCGCCTGGCTATCTCGCAGATACTACCCGGCTCGTGAAGGGCGCCGAAAAGGCCATGGCAGGCCAGACGAGGCCTCGCGTTTGGGCTACTGCTGCCCAGACTCGCGAACTTGTAGCTTGGGCCAGAAAGGCGGGCCGCCCAGATATCGGATGGTCGTGGGCAGTTTCGCGGCATTTTTGCTTAAGGTATTCTGAAGCCTTACGTCTCGGAACTCAATCTGCACCTTTCCGCTTTGTCGGGTCGGGCTCTGGTTCGGAGGCAGTGGTTACGTTTATGCAGCGGAAGTGCTACCGTGTCCCCGTGGAGGTGTCGCGCACATGCATTTGCACCGGGAGGACACAATCCTTGTGCGGCGTGTGTGCGCTGCGGCAGGCGGCCGAGAAGTGCCCGGAGCCTTTTTCGCACGTACGGTACTCGGAGGCGCTGGCTTTCCTCAAGGCGGCGGCTACAGCGTTGCACTTTGTGAACGCTCAGCACTGGGGGACCCACGCGTTTCGCAGGGGGTTCGCAGATGATGCCCTGCGGGCTGGGGGGACTTCAGCGCTCTTCTGGTCGGGCGGCTGGAGAGGCCTGGCTGCCTTCGGGTATGCTACTGCGCAGTCCCGAGGATCCCTGGCGGCTGCTGAGTGGCTGGTCGAGCACTCAGAGTCGAGTGGCGGCGAGAGCGGCTAGGCACGCTCGCATGCGTTGGGCGTCGTGGAAAACATTCATATCCGAGGCGTGCCTCCTCGGCTCTCGCCGCAAGCCCCAGCCCTCCTGGCGGCCTTGGGCCCTTTTGGTGTCGTCCAGTGGGTGGATGGCGGGGGGTCGCTGCCTTCGGCTATGCAATGGCGACGTGGCCGCCAGGCTGTGCCCTCCTGGATGCGGTGGGCCATTGGAGAAGTCCAGTCGGGCCCTGCCTGGCGGCGCCGGTTGTCTCTCCGCCCAATGCGGGCGCGGGGACGCCGACCCGCGCGTTTTGAGCGCGGCCGCACGCAGAGATTTTCATCGCCCCTAAATCGTGCAGCGGTTTGGGGGGCAGGAAAATCTCCAGGAGGACTCGAGTGGTCTCCTCGCTTCCTGGCCTCGGTGGCCTCAGGGGAATCGCGCTGGTTCACTGCCTGGCAGTGCCCCCCGTGGCGCGGCGGATCGTTGTGCTTACAGCCGGTGGCCGCGTGCGGCTGGTGGATTTGGGCGTGGGGATGCTACGCCACTTGCCCTTCTCCTCCCTCTGACCGCGAGTGCGCGAGGATAACCGCGCCATTGGCTGGCGGTGGCAGTGGTGCCCCTGTGCGGGTACGGGCGCGCCTGGCCGTGCTCTTGGGCGCTCGGGTTGCGTCTCGTGCTCCTCGTCGCCGCTGCCCTTCCTCGTCGCCATCCTGGCTCCGCCGTGCATTCTGGAGCTTAGGGCGTTGCTGGTGCTCCTCGTCGCCACGGCTCCTCGTCGCCACGGGCCTCCTCGTCGCCACGGTTCCTCGTCGCCGCGGGCCTCCTCGTCGCCACCGCCTCCCCGGGCCACTGCTGCTCCTGGGTTCTCGTTGCCACGCGGCCGCGTGCGCGGCGCAGGCTGCTTTGTAACCCACCCGCTGCCACCCTGTTGCTTTTCCAGGGAGCCAGCCTCCATCGTTGAAGCTGCTGCAGCGAGATCCCAAAGGTTCGAGGTCCCGAGGGGTGGTGAGGTCTGGGGCGAAACGCCCAGCCAGGCCCGCGGACACGCCGGGGGGCGCGACAGGGAGGTGCTGTCCACACGGAGAAGTGGTGGAGGAGCCGGCTGCAAGCTGCGCTCCCTCCCTCCACTCCCCTCCCCTCCCCTCCTCCCCCCTCCTTCCCTCCCCTCCCCTCCCCTCCCCTCCTCTCCCCTCCTCCCTCCCCTCCCCTCCTCCCCTCCCCTCCCCTCCCCTCCCCTCCTCCCCCCTCCCCCCCCTGCTCCTGGGACTGGGGATCTCGACGCCAAGAGCAGCGGCCGCGCGCGGGCTCCGTCTTCTCGTCCCGCGTCCTCCTCCATCCAGGAGGCCTCTACCAGGAGGAACAAAAACACACAGACACTGTCAATCGTCGGCCCCCAAGAAAATATGGGAAAAGATGGGAATTGGGCGGGAAGACAAAAAACCAGAAAATATAGGGAATCTTTTTATTTGTGTGTATTTATTTGTGTGTCCCAGGGCCCCTTCACTCTACTGCAACAGCTCGGTCTTCCACCATGCCTCCCCCTGCCTCTTCACCCTGCTCTCCCTCCCGCCAGAGGCTGTTGGCGCTCTGCTCGTCTACGACGTCACCAAGAGCTCCACCTTCTCGAATTGCGCCAAGTGGATGGAGGACCTACGAGCGGGCAGTGAAAGCGAGTATCCAGAGGAGGGAGAGGAACGAGGAGGTCGAGGACGTCGAGACGGATGCCGATAAAGAGGAGGAGAAGGAGTAGGAGGGTCCTATCAGACACCTATTGGGGGCATATGTCCACTTCGCGACGAAGAGGGGCTGCTCCAGGACCGACTTAACAGCCGCGAACTTCGGACCTCCAGCCCGCCCTGTGCTTCCAGAGCTTCAAAGCCCTAAGCGAGCTTAGATGACAAACTCCATCCATTCGAAAAGCCGATCAAGCGAGCGGCCGATCCCGCCAAACTCGTTCCGAAACCAGAAGCCCGAAACATACGAGTCCGGTCGGTCCTGGCACGCTTGCTGGGTTGCCCGGCACTCGGAGTAGGAGGAGGACACGAGGAGGGGAGAGCGAACAAGCAGGACCTTCGACCTCCGAGGCAGCAAGCGGGCGGGCCTCGAGGGGTCTCCAAACAGCACCTGCAGCCCAAGGCAAAGACAAGGCAGGAGGAGTAGAAGCAGACAGTCGTTGAAATCTCTTCTGGCACTCGTGGGCACCCGCAGCCGCCGTCAGTGAAGCACGGGGCGCCATCGAAGCAGGTGTGGTCACGGAACTCTTGCTGACACCACTCAAGCACGTGGGAGGAACGCGATTGCTGGATCTCGGCTCCCTCGTATCATCAGATGCCGCTGCACAACTTTCATCTATACTCCAAGATTCATGCACCATCTCATATGTCACCCCTTGCCGTCCACCAGGAAGGTCTGCAAGATCCTCTCTAAGTGGTTCATGGGGGCGACCCCCACCTTGACCGTCGCCCCGAGCTGCTCCAAGCAACGTGTCAACACCTTGAGCGACTCGTGCTGCGGCACCATCACCTTGCACTTGCCTTCCTTGAAGCCATCTGGACCTGGACGAACGAGAACATCTGGCTGACAGCCAGCAAGCTCAGGTTCGCAAGCTCCGTCTTCCAATTCACCAGCCTCTTGACGTTGGCCGCGCCGACAGTGTCTCCCGCTCCACGCACCCCTCGACCAGAGGCCCATGAGGGCCGCCATCGAGATGGCTCCCGTCTTCGCGACCTCCTCCTTCCCCTCGCCCTGAGGTCCTGCGCCGTCTCGACCCACGCCTGGACCCGAGTCCTCGAGCGCTGGAGCGGCACGACTCCCTCCATCATCCACAGCGCGACGAGCGTCACCGGCTCGAGCTGCCGAGTCCTCACCGTCACGTGGAGGAGCAGCTCCGGCATGCCTGGCACGACCGTCTTGCTCTGCTCGGGCTCGGTGGCCTCCAGCTCGGGTGCCTCGGCCTTCGCCACGTGCCTGATGCTCTTCCTCCGCTGCGCACCGCGCTTCCCGCGTCCTCCCTCGTCCGACGCGCCCTGGGCGCCCCTCCTCTTGAGTCGGGCGTGTCCCCCTACAGGGGAATTTTCGACGAAAAATAAAAGATACCCCAGACATAATCACACAATAGTCCAAACCTAGCCTGTGGACTATTTGTTGCGTCTTTGTTGGGCCTTTTTGGCGTATTCTAATTCTCGGTATTTTAGATCTTTCGTCGAAGATCTCCCTGTCGGGGGGACACGCCCGACATAGCCCTCCTCCGCTGGGGGGCCACGGCGTCAGACTCGGCGGGCGGGCACGGAGCGCACGCACACCCGAGGCGCTCGGGCCGCGGCGGCGCGGGGCGAGCCTGCGGGCGCCCGGTGGGAGCTCCCTGCCCGCCTCGCAGGGTGCGGCCGGGCGGCCCGGCCCCCGCGGACCCTGCCACGAGCGAGCGACGCTGCGAGGAGCTCACCGTCCCGAGGATGGCAAAAAACGAAGGATTGCAATCCTTCGTTTTTGCAATCCTTCGGGCCTTCGTTGGATTGCAAAAAACCCTCATTGCAAACGAGGGTTTTTTTGCAGTCCTTCGGTTTTTTTTGCAATCCTTCATTGCAAACGAGGGTTTTTTTGCAATCCTTCGTTTTTGCAATCCTTCGGGCCAGGAGCCGCAGTCGCAGCCCGGCGCGGCGGGGCGCGGGGGCGGCGGCGAGGGCCGAGGAGCCGGCCCCCCTCCGGGGGTGTGGTTCGGGCAGAGGTGGCGGGCGGTGGCAGCGGGAGGCGAGCACGGTGGACGCTCCTGCATGCCTCGCAAGGTTGCGGGCACATCGGTCGGGCACGAACCTCAGCACCCTCAACCGGCTGGCTGTGCTTCGACGAATCAGCGCTGCACCTTCCGCAACGATGTGCGGTCACACATTGTCTGCGTGCCGTGGCACGGCACCCGAAAGTCGAAGAGCGCGCAGTGTGTTGGTTTGCGACAACGAACGTTAAAACACGATCAGGAATACCGTGTTGCCGTTCCCGACGGTTGTCTTTGGTGAACGAGTAGGGCACGTTTAGTTTGGAATCGTCGAGCACATCTCAATCCATCCCCCTGTCGTCAGCTCACAGCGAAACTCTCCCTCGTCCACCTCCCCAGATTCGACCACTGTTTCTTGGGGGATCGACGCAATAACCACTCAGCCCTAAACTGCTGCACGCCAAGCTTCTGGAATTTCTCGCAGGCCTCCGAGTTCCCACTGAAAATCCCCAGGTTGTCCCCCTCCAAAGCCACCACCACCGCTAACTTCTCCTCCGCACACCTCATAGATTCGATGTCCTCAAAGAGCTGGGACACCCACGGGTTACGTCGAGGTATCTTTGGGTCGAAGGGGGGCATTGGGAGCCACGGGCAGGAAGAGGGAGTCTCGTTTTCCAGGTCCAGTTGGCCAACGACAGCCGCCAATTGCTGCACGTGCCAGCCTGGTGATCTCGCTACCTTCTGCCACTCTTTCGGTCTCTGCAGACACAGTTCGATCAAAGAAGAATCAAGACCAGCATGACGCCATAGCTGGAGAGCAGGTGGCGTTCTGACCACGACCGACTCAGAGCCATCGGGGTTCACGACAAGCACTTCGACAGCCACACCTCCCAGGAGCACCCTCAAGCACTTGCGAAATGCTGATTCCAGTCGGGCAACTTGGGACTCGGTGAGTGAGGACCGCAGCAGTGAGCCCAGACAGGGCCGCCCCGATAACACTGCTCCGAAATGCAGTATTCCTAGCCCTCCACGACGGACACGACGACCATAGCTTACGAATCTGGGCCCACCTCCTCCTCACGACAGCACCGCATCTAGATGAGACCTTGGTTGCCCACGAGCCACTGGCGTTGAACATCGTGCAGCATGACCACAGGCATGACAACTCCAGGAAACGCCCAAGCCTAAACACTTCACTGGCATCCCACATGTAATTCCCCCCTCCGCATTCTTGAACACCCTGTACCCCCCCTCCGCATACACACGAACGCAGGCATGACGAGGGTGTTGCTTCTAAGCATATGCGTCATATTCTGGATGCAGTCGAACCACAGCCGCATTCAGCGAGCAATGTCTCACCGACCCGAAAGCGCTTCTCGTACCACGTTAGAGCAGCAGTCGTACGTACGACCCCCGTTCGACATTTTCTATGTAGGCAACCATGATCATGTACTGGAGTATCTCCCCCCTAACGAGCAGCAGGTGTGACCCACATTTTACCAAACGATCGCAATCCCGTGGAGAAGTCTCGCCCCTTGCCTCCTAATCTCGCCATTTCTTTAGACAGCTGATAGGTAAAGGACACGTTCCAGAGAGCAACTAGGCGACCCTGCTGACAGACTCTAGTAAGAATACTAGCCACCCACTTTGACACAATTCACCTGTTCCAGCTGGGGAAATGTGCTCCCAGTCATGCGTTATGCACAGCAGCAACGGGTCTCCGCGATAGAAGTAGTGACCAGGTCCCATTCGGGAAACTCCAGGGTACAGCAGCTCCCCCACGTCTTGCAGTCCTGAAGCCCTCGGTGATCCTCTCGAGATCCCCCCCCCTCGTTCACGTCGAACTCGTTCGGTAAGTCACCATCGTCAGGTCGTGCAGCTCCCATGAGCCACTCCTCCTCTCAAAGCTGTGTAGCACTCATCCCTCCCTGGCTCGACGGCATAGCGAGATCCTCCACCCACTGCTCCATCGATGGTGTGTAAGCCGATGCGTGCCCGAACTTCCTCATCCTCCTCGGACCGACCCCCCACTCCCGCCATGAGTATACATATCCTCCATTCCTCCGGCGCAACCCCTTTAGTTTGTGCTTAGCTCCTCTGCCAACTGTGCCCCCTCATCTCACGACTTTGCCTGCTCATGGTCCAGCGTCTCCTTGTGATACGTGTCAGGTGCAGGGCAGGCTCTACATAATCATCAATGGCAGCACGCGCATGCTCACTCTCACCTAGGGCACATACACGCTCACGCACAAGCAGTTGGTATGCCTTTGGCATGGCCGTCGGCGTAACCTCCAATGATTTACATCCTCGCTCCATGGCAAGGTTCACAAGTTCAGCTCACGCAGCCTCGAGAGACCCAGCATTATGTACAAGTTCTTGTACCGATTCCACACCCTTTCGTTGCAGCAACCCAATGAGCGCCCCCTCCACCCTCTGACGCAGTTGATATGCATGCACCTCACTCCTTACGGCCTGTGCCAATCTCACAAAGTTTTACCTCCTCTTTGGCGGCTCTTGCTTGACACATGGACGTATATGAGTTTGAAACACGAATGTTATGTGGTCACGATGGCGGCTGTCAGGAATCGCCTGCACCCTTCGAGATGACTTACATGCTTTCACAAATCTCTCAATGATGGGCATGTGCCCAGCTGGGACAAGAACATTATCAATGTAGGATGTGTGCTCTGCTTCTTATACTGCCCTCCGCTATCTGACTCGAAGAGAGCTGGCCCGAGGGGCTGACGCGCTTCAGCAGGGACAGCGTCCTAGTAGCTAGGTTCACATGGGCAATATGTATGTATGACGGATAATGAGTATTTTTTCAGCCATCTCACGAAAACATGGACCCAGCACGATGTTGAACTCCACGACCGCACTTACCACCCATCGGGGAATCAATCTCGCTTGCTTCATATTTACTCTGGGTGAGGCCTGTCCCGTCGTTCACATCAGAAGCACTGATTGGTACAGCTCGACCTGGTAATCCAGTCAGAACATTTTGCGCGAAATCGTGCACCTCCTGGACAGTGGTACTGGTCAGAACCTGTTCGCTAGGATCTTTGCCGCGTTGTGGGAGTCCAATGCTAGGCATGCCACATCACTGTATAAGGATTTCTCTATGATCGCCGCCACCCTTCCTCTGATATCTGATGGTGCAGTCCAGATTCTCACTACAACACGGGCCCTCACCGTCATCTTGTTGATGTAGAATGCGTCACCTCACGAGCAACTAGTATAGACAGCTTGCGCATGATGACCACATATCATTACTTTGAAGTTGGGCACATCCTCGGCAACATACGGCAAAGCGAAACCATTACGTTGAGTAGCGATCATAATCACAATCTCATATTGCCGGCAAACTCGTAGCCAAAAAGCTCAAGCTCTCGGTCACGATCAGAAGTGGAGAGTGGATTACAGCATATTCTTCTCCATTCCGTACGACATTGCGGAACGCAGTCTATGCAGACAGTCATTCTTCTGGCACCCTGGGCGTCGCATTGTGATGCAACAGCCCAGACCAGCAACAAAGCCAACCCGACAGTCGCGTGTAATGTGCAGCCCAGGCCAACAGACGAGCCCGTCCTTCCAGAACGAGTTACAGTGCCGCACGCCTGACAATCGAGGCACAGAGGGTAGGAATCCGACTCGTTCAGTCGCACGAGAGGCAAGCAAGAGCATACGACACGATACGAACGCCGTGCATCCATGAAGGACGCGTGTACAGAGAGCGTGGTGAAACTATTTCCAGGGCCGCGTCCGGCACGCCACGTAGGGGGAATGGGGAGAGAAGGGGGAGAGAGGGAGGAGGGGAGAAGGAGAGGAGGGGAGAGGGAGAGGGAGGGGTAGAAGGAGAGGGAGAGGAGGGAGGGGAGGGAGAGGAGGGAGAGGGAGAGGGAGGGAAGAGGGGGAGAGAGGGAGGAGGGGGGGAGAGGAGGGAGGGAGGGGGAGAGGAGGGGGAGGGGAGAGGAGGGGAGGGAGAGGGAGAGGGAGGGAGGGGGAGAGGGAGAGGGAGGGACAGGGAGGGAGAGGGAGGGAGGGGAGGGAGGGAAGAGAAGAGCAACGATGTGGCACAAGGTAAGGCGAGGGCGGGAGGTTCCGCAAAGCGGGGCGGCGGAGGTCCTGCCTCGACGGCAGGGCAGCAGAGACTGCGGCTTCTGCCGCGCAGCCACGGCAGCTGAAGCGCCTGGGCCGCGTGGCCAGGAGGAGCAGAAGCAGAAGGAGGAGGAGGAGGAGGAGGAGGAGGAGGAGGAGGAGGAGGAGGAGGAGGAGGAGGGAGAGGAGGAGGAGGAGGAGGAGGAGGAGGAGGAGAGAGGGAGGAGGAGGAGAAGGAGGAGGAGGGGGAGGAGGAGGAGGGAGGAGCAGGAGGAACAGGAGGAACAGGAGGAGTGGGAGGAGGAGGAGGAGCAGGAGGAGGAGGAGGGAGGAGGAGAGGAGGAGGAGGAGGAGGAGGAGGAGGAGGAGGAGTATGACGATAAGGAGGAGGTGGAGGAGGAGGAGGAGGAGTTGTGTTCGTATTGTAGCCCCCATGTCACCGAGCAAATCCCCGTCTAGCTGAATCTACATCTTGATGCCTCGCGGAAGCCTCAGCGCGAACGCACTCAGGACTTTTGTCTGTTACGGGAAGAAGAGCGTGATATTCCCTTTCAGTATCATTTTGGAGACTGTCGTCGTGCGTGATGACTTCGGTGTTGCGCACGAGCGTGCGCCCCGTCCTCGGCGTGGAGCACCGTGCAGCTCGCGGGGGAGCACGCGGCGAGGAGCGCGACCCTCCAGGACAGAGGCGCCAACGCGGAGGAAGGACGCCTCATCGGGAGGATTTGCTCAAACGCAGCCCTTCGGGGCGGAGGCGCCAACACGGAGGAAGGACAGCTCATCGGGAGGAGGCGTATGGCGCAGACAGCCCAGAATGGAACATCTCGTTCGGCCAGGGCTCGCGCTGTTGGCACAGCACGGCGCAGCTCGTGGATGAGCACTTGGACAATCACAAGCCCTCAGGACGGAAGCACCAAAACGGAGGATATATTTTATTGGTGTCAGATTTATGTTTCGGATAGTGTTTTCCGCCACTTCAATCGCACACTCTTCGAAAACATTTTCTTTGGACTCTTCGGGAGGAGCTGCTGGGTGCAGTCGGCCCGGAGTGGGGCATCTCGTTAAGGCAGGGCTCGCATCGCTGGTGCAGAATAGCACAGTACCAACACGAAGGACAGACTTCAGTGCGGTCAGTTTGTTTGTACCGGGTGTTTTTTACGCCACGACTTGTTCGGACACTGATGTTAGCAAGCAAGTTCTTCAGGCTCATCGGGAGGAGTTGCTGGGCACAGTCGGCCCAGACTGGAGGAGCACCTCATTCAGCAAGGCTCGCGTTGTGGGCGCAGCACGGCGCACAGCCCTTCAACGGAGGCACCAGCACAGATGGAGGATGACTCATCGGGAGGAGTTGCTGGACGCCGCCTGCCAGCTTCGGGCGTTTCGTCATGGGAGGGGATAGTTGGGGGGGAGGGGTGAAGAAATGTACACCTTCTGTGCACCTCAGGGGCCCTAAGGGGGCCTCCCCGGGGCCCAAAAGCGGCACGAGAGGTGCGCGCTTCTCCCAGCTCTGGATCGCTTCCCCACTTATTGAGGCCCAGAATCCAAGGCTCGCATTGCTGGTGCAGCATGGCGCAGCATGGCGAAGCATGGCGTAGCAGCCGCGCCTCGTTGTTGCTGACAGTCGGTGGTCACGTCGGCCCGAGCACGAGGCCCTCTGTCACAGTGCGTGCGTCTGTGCGGACTGCCGCAGGGGCGCGCAGGAAAGCTCTGTGGAGCCAGATCTCTGCTTAGGACGTGTGGTCGCCCAGTGCTCGGAGGCGGCCAAGGGGGGAGTGACCACCTCCTCCTACACCTCCTCCTGACCCTCCTCCTCCTGACCCTCCTCCTCCTCCTCCTCCTCCTCCTCCTCTTCCCCTTCCCCCTTTTTTGCACAGGGGCCTCTGGAGGACCCTGCGGGTGTGAGGCCTCCACAGGGCCAACGACGCCCGAGACGCTGGATCCCCGATCCCCGGCCCTCGATCGTCGATCGAGGCTTGCGGCCCCCTCGCCCTCGCCCGCACAGGAGCTGCGCCAGAACGCCGAGCCTGACATCGTGATCATGCTGGCCGCCCCCCTGGCAGACATCGGGGGGCGCTCCCTCTGGTACGGGTCTCCTCGTCCTCCTCCTCCTCCTCCTCCTCCTCCTCCTCCTCATCCTCATCCTCGTCGTCGTCGTCGTCGTCGTCGTCGTCGTCGTCGTCGTCGTCCTTGTCGTCGTCCTTCTCCTCGTCCTCGGCCTCCTCCTTTTCCCTTCTCCATCAACGCTGGCCGTCTTGGGGGCCTTGGGTTTCCTGTTGGGGCCACCGTGGAGGCCATCGATGAAAGACGGGGGATTCTTACTGTCCCCCCGTCGGAAGTAGAATAGTCGCCTCTTGGAGCCCTCCCGGTTCGCTCCTGGTAGCGTTCTCGAGTGCTCTTGGTGCCGTCTTGGAACTCCACCGGGCTCCTCTTGGAGCTCTCGCGGGCGATCTTGGAGCCATCTTGAGGCTTCAAGAGCCTAACGGAAGCGAAAGAGCGAGAAAGCTGACATCATCAGTGTTCTTTAGGTTTTGGACGGTTTTTGGGATCTCGGGAGCTTCCCTGGAGGGACTCGTCTTGGACTCAGGGTCGGGGAGAGGCTCAGCGGCCACTTGGACTCGTCTTGGGGCGGTCTTTGGGTCGCTAAGAGGCGTGTGGGAAGCTATCCTGAACTGTCTTGGGCTATCTTGTGTGATCTCGGAGGCCATTTTAGGGTGTGTGGGGCCATCTTTAAGCCATCTTGGGCCAGCAAGAACCCTCCGACACCTCGCGCCCCTCACCTCCCCTCCAGACCCAGGTGGCAGGAGGGGTAAACCTGTCCCCCAAGAGGAGCAAAGGGGTTTGACAAATGGCTAAACCACCAGCGCCCGGATTGGGCTGGTGGGATTCGTGCGGCGCGAAGGCCACAGCCACCTTATGAGTATCAGCCGCCCTCCATCCGTTCAGCTGTTGGATATTTCAAGCATCGTGATGACGTGTTTGGGCCCGCCTAACAGGCACGCCTGGCAGTGCGACGATGTGGGACTTCCCTAAGGGAGGGATAGAGGACGATATAGGCTTCTGTGGACTGCGCCTTTACCTTCACATGTTTGCATGGCCCCGTGTTTCCGGTTTCGGCGCCGTGCTCGAAAGGGCATTTGTGTCAACGCGTGTGGCGCGTGTAGTACGTGCCGAAAGCGCGCGCGCACGAGACGAAGGCGCACTGCACGCAGATCGAGGTTGAGACAGACCGCACCCCGTCCCTGGTGTGTTCATCAAACGAGTCGCCAATTCGCCCGCGAAACAAGGGGCGGGGTATCAACCGTCTATTGATGCTGCTGTCAGAGACCTGGAGGGGCGACACCAGCCGCGACTTGATTCTGGTCTTGAAGAGACAGAGTAGCAGGTCGACTACAAAAGGGTAGTAGGTTCTTAGCTGAACGGGGTGGATCATCGGACCCCTTTGGAGGCCGTTGGGCACGACTTGGCTTGTCTGGTCTCCCGCAAGGCGCCGAGCCTCGTTTTCGGGGACCCAATGAGGCTAGCTCCAGGCTGGGGTAGTGTTGTGTGTGTGTGTGTGTTTATTTGTTTGTTTGTTTGTTGGTTTGTCTGTCTGTCTGTCTGATTGTTTGTTGTTTGTGTTTGTCTTTGTGTTGGTGTTTGTGTTTGTGCTAGTGTGTGTTGTGTATTCGCTTGTTTGTTTGCCTGCTTGTTTTTTGTTGTTTGTTTGTTTGTCTGTTGTTTGTGTTTGTGTTTGCGTTTGTGTGTGTGTGTGTGCGTACGTGGGTGCGTTCGTGCGTGTGCGCGTGTGCGCGTGTGTGTGTGTGTGTGTGTGTGTGTGTGTGTGTGTGTGTGTGTGTGTGTGTGTCTGTGTGTGTGTGTGTGTGTGTGCGTGCGTGCGTGCGTGCGTGCGTGCGTGCGTGCGTGCGTGCGTGCGTGCGCGTGGGGTCGCCAAGAGTTTCGGGCGATGTTTGGGTTGGCCCCAGAGCTGGTTAAAGTGTGGCCGACACGTGCCGAGCGCCCTGGTGGCTTCGCGCCGCAAAGCCAGCGGAGCGCCCGACGCTGATGATTCGTACTCGTCGGGGCAGCTGTGATGCGTGTGCTCGCGTGGCATTGGCATTCGTTGCCGCACCAGTTCAGCGAAGTGAAGAGGAGGAGGAGGTGGAGGAGGAGGAGGACTAAGGGGGAAGGTGTATTCATGAGAACACGACGCATCAGGAAGACTAGACAGGGTGCGGATGATGATAATGATGATGATGACGATGATGCTACCAACAAGGACGACGATGATGTTGATGCTGATGCTGATGCTGATGATGGTAATGCTACTAATGATAATGATGATGATAATGCTGATGACGGTGACGATTTAATGCTAGTGCTCGTGATGATGGTGGTGATGTTGCAGATGATGCATATTATGTTACTATGACGATGGTGATGCTGCTGCCGATGATATGACGATGATGACGATGCTGGTGATGATGATGCTGATGCTGATGACGATGATGGCGCTGCTGATAGTGATGATGATGGTGGTGGTGGCGGTGGTAATGCTGCAGCTGCTGATGCTGATGCTGATGCCGATGCCGAGGCTGATGTTGATGCTGACGCAGCTGATGATGTTAATGACGACGATGCCGACGCCGATGATGATGATGATGATGATGATGATGATGATGATGATGATGATGATGATGATGATGATGATGATGATGATGATGATGATGATGATCGATGATGATGATGATGATGATGATGATGATGATGATGATGATGATGATGAGATGAGATGATGATGATGATGATGCTGATGCTGATGCTGATGCTGATGCTGATGCTGATGCTGATGCTGATGACGATGACGATGACGATGACGATGACGCTGATGTTGTTGATGATGATGAATATGATAATAGCACTGGTGGTGGTGGTGATGATGATGCTGATGCTGATGCTGATGCTGATGCTGATGCTGATGCTGATGCTGATGACGATGACGATGACGATGACGATGACGCTGATGTTGTTGATGATGATGAATATGATAATAGCACTGGTGGTGGTGGTGATGATGATGCTGATGATGCTGATGCGGATGACGATGTCGATGATATGAGAAAAGACGGAACGAAACGAACAGAGCGACGGAGGGGATCCAGGGGGGGTCATTGACAGAGCTGCTCGGGACGGTCGAGGAGGTCAAGCAAACGGTCAACACTTCGTTCAGCGGTGCCACAGCGGCGGTTATTTAATCGCTTCGCTCATTCCGCCGGCCCTGGAGCCCTCTTCAGGGCCTCTTGGGGACCTCTTGGGAGTCTCTTGGGGCTCCTTGGCGGCGTCTTGGGGGACCCCAGGGCCTCTTGGGGGGCTCTTGGGGGCCTCTTGGGGCGGGAGGGGGGGTAGTCGATTGCGGCTCCCCCCTCGGAGGCCACGATCCTCGTGAGGGGTGTCGAAACATTGCCTGGTGCGGCATCTCTGACCCGAGTCTGCCGGGACCCTGCCGGGGTACTTTTCGCCCGGAAATCCCCAGGGGCGGCCCCGCGCGCGCGAACTGGAATATTGTTAACCAGTTACCGGAGATTTTAGCACGCCTCTGGCCCGTTGGGCCGGCGAATTGCTACGTGCGAGGGTCCCGGCAAGAAGATTACAGCGGACACTGCAGGGGCGCGTGCCCGTCTCGGCCCCATATGGGGTCGAAGCTGTCGGAATACTGGGAGATGGCGGCTCGCTGTCCAATGGGGCCAAGCAGCTTCGTGGAGATTTCCATGGTGAGCTCGGCATCGCTCGTGCTCAAGTCCCTGTCCCTGTCCTCCGTGCTGGCCCAGGTGCATCTTGCTCGCACGAGACCGATCCGTGCGTTATCATCTGCCGCTGCCCGGAAATGGTCTCCAAGAACAGCGTGCACCATGTGGGTTCGCGGGTGAGTGGTGGATGCCAACGTCAATGATGGAGAGTGGGACCTGGGGGGCGATCCGACTTCGAAACGTTTTGTGCTTCGTATCAAAGGTGCTGTGGGATTCGCTTCTCGCCGTTTGGCGCGCGCCTTCACCATTCTTGGACCCAGCCAACGTGGAGGCGAGTGGAAGAAATTCCATGTGGCGACGGTCGCGGGCGAGTGGGCTGAACTGCACGCCGACCCATCTAAGATTATGGAGTGAATCCGGAGGGAAATCGCGTGCAAGAGTGCGAAACATATTCTCATGGAGATCTTTCCTGACAGGTCTTTCTGCACCGATAGACAGAAGGTTGCAGTTTGTACGAATTGGCAGCCGCTGGTGCTCATTCGACTTCGCCCAGATCAGGAGGCGCCCGAGATTTTGTACGCGATGGCCAACTTACGGAGCGAGGGCGTCGAGAGGGCGCACATGGAGCCGAGGCTGGCTTAGTTTTTGTGCTCGACGTCGTGGAATACTGACTGGAGTCTTTCGCAGGGTTCATACTTTGTGGAGTGATGCCCAGTCGGGCCTGGTATTTTTTCGAGCAGGAACCTGGAACGCCGCAGCTTTCATTCACCAGGAGGAAGCGTGTCGGCTTGCCAAATTCCTCTATCTCATAAAGCTTTTGAGGCCTGGCGCTCTGCGCACGGCGCCAAGGCAGACATCTTCACTGCGCTAACCTCTCCCCTTCTTTCTCGTTCACCTCGTTTTGTCCTCCTTCCTCGCTCAGGCGGGTGGCGTCGTGGCTTTCTATCCTGTTCAGCCCCGCAGGGCCCCGTAGGCAGATGCGTGGCTCCCTCTACCGTCTCGTCTCCTCTGCTGTGATTGTTCGTGGGGGAGTACTGCTTATGCGAATTTGGGCTGACAACAATATTTCGAGCGTGCCGAATTTCGACATGCACAACCATGGTATGAATCGTCTACACTTGCTAGATTTACTTTCGCATATGAAAAGCGAGATTGAAGTGGCCCTTTGGGATCCGCTCAACAAATATGCGTGGGTAGCGGGCGACCTCAATGATTGCTACGCGGGGTCGACGCCGCTGAATCCAGATGGCTCGCATTCGCCGCCTGCCGCGCCCTTCCTCTCGCGCTTGGAGAGAAGTGCTTGGCGAGCTGATGGAGCTCCAGACAGCGGGCCCGACGCGCTATCTTGCTGGTACTCGCTTCGTTTCCTACATCGATCGCGTGCTCTTGAATCTCACTGGGTGGCCACTAAGAAACACTCGAAAGGTGGGGGCGTGGTGGGATGCGCTGAATACATATATCTATTTCGGATCATGCTGCTGTTATGGTTTGTCTACGGCCTGGGGAGAAACCCAGTTCGGAAAACATACCTATCCTTGTTGATTTGTTTTTTGGATCTTTTCCCTGAAGAGCATCAGGCGTTCGTGAAGATGCGAAGCCGACCCCCCTAGCCTCCTGCCCCCTGAGGTAGTTCGTGGGCACTATAAGGACTGCGTGAGAGGCTGTCAGGTGCGCCCGAAACACGGCCATCTTCAGAAGGCCCGCCTCGCTCTCTGCGCGCTACAACGCGGTGCGAAGCGTGGCCCGCGCAGTTCTCCGAGGCGCCCGCGTGCTGGCCGTCGAGCTTCAGCGTTCGCGCCACCTTGCTCGCGGGCGTCTTTCTCTAGGCCCTGTCTGGCAAGAGGTCCGACTGGTCGACGCAGATGCCTTTGCCCGTTTCGCCCCGCCGAGCCTCGTCGTCCTGCTGCTGCGCGACGCGGGGGCCATGCCTCCAGGGCTGCTGACCAGGGACGCAACGCTCCTGGACAACGACGTCTGCGGGAGCGGGTCAGGACGACGAGGGAGATATAGGCTATCAGGAGTCCTCTTGAAACGCGCGGGTGCACCTATCTGGGGTTCTCAGCCTGAGCAGATGAAGAAGCGGCACTGGTCGACCAGTGGGGCCCGTTTTTTGCGCGTGAGCCGTGGCGGATGACCCACAGCTGATTGACAAGCAGCTGCACCCGCAGAGAGTGATGCATAGCGCCATCCGTGACACCATCTCTGCTGATAAGCTTCATGCGACGCTCTCTCAGCGTCTTTTGAACTTGCTTCCAGCATATCGTGACGACATCCTAGGTATTGATTGGGATCGCTTTCGAGCCGTGATCCTCCCCACCCCTCGTCGCGATCTGCGATTACATAATCGCTATGTGGGGCCTGGGCTACATATCAAAATTTCCAAACGACGTCAGGGTGCATCTTGGGTTAGTCGCGAATCAATCACATTCATTCATTACTGGCACTGTTCCAAGTTCAACTTGCTATTTGCACAGTTTGTTGGGCACTCTTTACTATTCGGATTGTTGATAACCCTCTTTGCATATTCGGATTTGTCTACCCCGCCCCTGGCACACTTGCGGTGGTCGTCCATGCGTTCTTTTTGTTCGACGGGTTGCGTGCTGCTGCCGCGTCGTCGTCTTCCCCGTCCTCTGCCTCCTCCCTCGGGAGGATGAGGACAGAGGAGGAGGAAGCGGAGGAGGAGGAGGAGGAGGAGGAGGAGGAGAAGGAGGAGGAGGAGGAGGAGGAGGAGGAGGAGGAGGAGGAGGTCGGCCGGGCGAGGCGCGCACGGCCAGTTCTCAATCGCCATCGAAGAGATGCTCGGCCGCAGGGTGCCTGAAAACATCGTGCTTATCGTCGGTGTCAGGCGCTGCGGGACCCCCACTCCTCCCCCGAACCGATCGGATCGGGAACACCCTGGTCAGCGCACCGCAGGTCGGCAACAAGTTCGACCTCGCGGAGAAGAACCCCTCGGATCGCCAGGCCTTCTCCCGTACTGACTGCCCCTGAGGAGGAGGAGGAGGAGGAGGAGGAAGAAGAGGAGGAGGAAGAAGAGGAGGAGGAGGAGGATGATGAGGTGGAGGACAAAGAGGAGGAATAATAGGAGGAGCAACAGGAGGAGGACGAGGACAAGGCGGAGGAGAAGGAGGAGGAGGAAGAGGAGGAGGAGGAGGAAGAGAAGGAGGAGGAGGAGGCAGAGAAGGAGGCAGGTGAGGAAAAGGAGGAGGAGGAGAACGAGGACACTGAGGAGGAGGACAAGGAAGATGAGGAGGAGGAATTGGAGGAGGAGGAGGAGGATGAACATGAGGAGGAAGAATTGGAGGAAGACGAGGAAGAGGAGGAGGAGGAGGAGGAGGAGGATAACGAGGATGATGATGATGAGGAGGAAGACCAGTGTAAACCTAAGAGCCTGCAACGATGGTGTAGTACACCCTCGTTCCAAACTCCATTTTGAATAGGTCTTTACAACGGTTTATTTCCATTGGGGAACTGCCTCGTTGAAAGACAACCGTTTGAAGACCCCGAATCATGCCAAAACATTGTTCTCGGGATTCCATCGCCACGGATCAACCAGGCTGTTGCGTCTTGACGATCCTGAGTCGTGCCAGAACGCCATTCTCGGGACTTCAATACCGCGAATCAACATAACTGTTGCGCCCGCGAAATCCTGAATCATTCCAAAACACCACTTCCGGTACGTTGATCATGGGAACCTGTGAAGCCCTTGCAACGTTTATAAACGAATGTGCGCGGCGCTAAGGCGAGAGCTACATTTTGAAAAAGGAACCGCTCCCAATCCGTGAAGCCCCTGCAGGTTTTTAAAACGAATGTGCGCGGCGCCAAGACGAGAACCGCATTTTGAAAACGGGCCGCCCTCAATCCGTGAAGCTCCTGCAAGTTTTTAAAACGAATGTGCTCGGCGCCAAGACGAGAACCACATGCTGAAAATGGGTCGCCTTCAATCCGTGAATTTCTGATTCATTTTCAAAACGATTGTGCGCGGCGCTCAGGCGAGAACCACATTTTGAAGACGTGTCGCCCTCAATCCGTGAAACTCTTGCACATGTTTCAGACGAATGTGCGCGGCGCTCAGACGGGAGCAACATGTTGAAAACCACCGCCCTCCATTTGTGAAGTTGTTGTCATTTTTTAGTTTCAGAGTCGTAAATGGTGGGGAAATCTGAGGGTAAACGCCCAGCCCGCCCTGAAAACTTGCCCCAGGGTGCGACAAGGAGAAGTTATTCCCAAGTAGAAGGAATGGAGGAAGAGGAGGAGGACGAGGAGGAAGAGGAGGCGGATGAGGAGGAGGAGGACGATGAGGAGGAGGAAGAAGAGGAGGAAGTGGATGAGGATGAGGAGGAGGAGGAGGAGGAGGAGGAGGGGTAGGAGGAGGAGGAGGAGGACGAGGAGGAGGAAGAGGAGGAGGATGAGGAGGAGGAGGAGTAGGAGGAGGAAGAGGAGGAGCAGGAGTGGTGGGAGGAGGAGGAGGAGTAGGATGAGTAGGGGGAGGAGGAGTAGGAGGAAGAGGAGGAGGAGGAGGGGGAGGAGGAGGAGGAGGAGGAGGATGAGCAGGAGGAGCACGAGGAGGAGGAGGAGGACGAGTGTTTTCCAAATGTCGCTCTCGCTTTAGTGCCGCGCACATTCGTCTTTATAGTTCGCAAGCGTTTCGTGGATGGGGGGCGGTACATTTTCAGAATGTAGCTCTCGCCGTAGTGCCGCGCACATTCGTCTCAAGAGTTTATGGGACTTGCAGCATTCCTTGTGGTCGACGGCCCAAGAGTTGTGTTTTGACACGATGTGGGAATATCACGTCGCATCAGTTACGTTGACTTTGGTGTTGACGTCCCAGAAACATGTTCCGACGTCCCAAGAAAGGTGTTCTGGCACGATTCAGGATCGTCAAGACGCGACAGTTACGTTGATCGTGGCATTGAAGTCCCCGGGGCGGCGTTCTGGCACGGTTCAGGATTTTCAAACGATTGTCTTCCAATGTGGCATTCCGTCAGTGAGCAAGTATTGTCGTAGGGACTCATGACAGAAGGGAGTTTGGAGGGAATGTTTACTTCATTATCGTTGATGGATCTTGGGTTTGCATTGGTCCTCCTGCTCCTCCTCCTCCTCCTGTTCCTCCTCCACTCGTTCTATTCCTTGAGGGGCTTTCATGGGCTGTTGTCTGGTCCTTCTTTGGATATCTTGGGCTCCTGCCAATTCCCCTTTGGGTCCTCATGCGGTGGGGGTGATGACTTGGGCCGTCTTCGCGTTCTCTCGGCTGTCTGGGAAGTCTCCTGGGGCTGTATTGGGGCCCTCTTGGAGCCCTCTTGGGCCAAGTTGAGGCCCCTCGTGAGCCGTCTTGAGGCACTCTTGGGGCTGTTCTGGACCGTCTGAGGGGCGTTGTGGGCCCTCATTCTAGTCTTTGGCGTCTCTTCGGCTCCTCCGAGGCCCTCTTGGAACCATCTGGAACCATCTGTAATCATATCGAGCATACTGCTTTCTTTTTGCGTGATGAGGGTCTCCTTGCCCTCGCCTTGATGTCTTGCAGGCCTCATGGGGTCTCTTTAGCGCCTCTTGGGGTCTTTCTGCGAGCTGTCGAGTGGCTCTTGAGATCAGGTTGAGCCATCCTAGCGGCCCTGTTGGCCTTCCTGGGCCGTGCTCGAAGCCTCGGAGATCCGTCGAGAGCGTGAGAGAGGCGCCGATCCGCCCAAGAAGCGTCGGGAGACGGGGGGGGATGGGCACGCAGCACGCAGCGCCGAGCAGCGCGAGAGTGGATGGCCCTTCGAGGACTTGCCGAGGCTCCTGCCAGACAGCACCCGATGTTCTGCCGCGCTTCCGAGTGGCACGAGGCACGGCTGCGACCCTCGAGGAGGGGCGGAAGGACAGAGGGGGGGGAGGACAGCTCGTGTCGGCCTGGCGCGGGACCGATGCAGGCCCCTGGCTCGTGGCGTGCTCCCCAGAGGGGGGAGTCGAAGAAGAAGCAACGGCATAATCAAGGGCGCCCTCGAGGGCGCGAGGTTATTCGCGCTTCGCGCTTCGCGCTTCGCGCTTCGCGGTTCGGCTCCGATTCCTCCTCACCCTCCACTTCTCCCCTGGGAGGCGGCGCGAGAGCGCGAAGCTATCCGCACTTCGCGCTTCGCGCCGCGCGCAGCGCGAAATTGGGAGCCCTTGCATAATGCTGCGCACTCGGCGTTCCGCGCGGCTCTCTGGGATCGGCGCCGCCAGGGGAGCCCAGCGCCGACCCCAGGCATCGGCGCGGACCCCCGCGGGTCTGTGCCGATGCCTTTTTCTCTCGAGCGATGCGCGGGCGGAGATGCGGCCACGTCCTGCTGCGCCTGTCCGGCCTGGCTCCGAGAGGGGGCCTCGGGCGTCCCCAGGACTGCCCCCTGCCGGGGGCGGCCCCCGCAGTCTGGGGAGCCGGGCCAGGCGGCCTCTCCCCCTGGCGTGGCTGCTTGGCCCGCCGCCGCCCTCGTCTTCTTCGGGGCGGGGGAGGGGGGGGAGAGGGGGAGCAGGTCAGGTCAGGCAGTCCACTCCACGGAAGCTCCTCAGTGAAAGCAGGAGCAGGAGGAGGAGGAGGAGGAGGAGGAGGGAGGAGGAGGAGGAAGGAGGAGGAGGAGGAGGAGGAAGGAGGAAGGAGGAAGGAGGAGGAGCACGATGAGGCCGAAGAGGACGCTCAGCAGGGCGAGCGCGTTCGCGCATCCGCGCGGCGCGCCTGGGGAGGTCTACTACGACGCGGCGGCGGAGTTCGCGCGCCAGAACGGCCTCTTCTTCGCGGAGGCTCCCTGCCTTGGGGGTTCCATAGGGGAACGCAAACCTACATTTCGAGCTCCCCAGCCTACGACGACCTCCGAAACAGCCAGCAGGCCCCAAAGAGCCCCCCAGAGGCTCCAGGAGGCTCCCAAGAGGCCCAAATCAGGCCCTCCGAGACCCCCAAGAGATCCCTAAGAGGCTCCACAGCCCCTCCCAGATGGGTTCGGAGTAGAGGGGTCGGAGGATGGCGCGGCATCACTGATGCATCGGCGATGCGGCTATGTTCACCGATACATAGCCGATGCGTCGCCAATGTATTGGCGATGCATCGGCATGCGTCGCGATCCTCCGACCCCAACTACTCCGACCCCATCTTAGAAGCCTCTAAAGCAGCGCCCACCTTCACTCAATCTTAAAACGAGGTCGTGAGGGTAAGCACCTCTCCCGTACCAAGGGCAATGATGTTGTCCTCGATGCGCTCGTCCCAGTTTCAACCCGGCGGCGGACGACGACGACTGCGGCAGCGACGGCGGCGACGGTCGCGGCGGCGGTCGTGGCGGACGACGGCGACACGACGACGGTGACGACGACGACGGCGGCGGCGGCGGCGGTGGCGGACGACGACCCCTGACATCCGCTAACCTGTTTTTTCAGTCCGCGGCCCCAGAGGTCCCGTCCACTTCCCCAGAGCCAGTTCTTCGCCCCAGATCTGCCGCGCGCAGAGGGGAGAGGGGGGAGGGCTTCTTTGAAGCACCCCTGCTTCTCAGAGGGCGCGGGCCTCAACGTAGATACAGATATCGCCAGCGCCTTTACCAAGCAGCCTCCTCCTAAGAAGCCTTCCACCCTCCCTCCACCCCCTTGTTCGCGCCGCCCATTAGATCCGTTTCTAATGACCCCAGGCCCGATAACGGGCCACGGAGGCCGAAATCGATGACAGACGCCTGGAACGAAACCTTCATCGTTGGAGACCGGCGACGACGACAGCGGCGGACGGCGGACGATTGGGGCACGGAGGGTTACCGATGCCGCCACTCCCTGGACCTCTCCCAGGGTGCATTCCGACCAGAATTCTTGAGGAGGATCCAGCCGTGGCGACGGGGGATCTCTAGGACGAGCAGCGGCATCGGTATCTCTTCTTCTTCTTCTTCTTCTTCTTCTTCTTCATCTTCTTCTTCTTCTTCCTCCTCCTCCTCCTCCTCCTCCTCCTCCTCCCTCCCCTCCTCCTCCTCCTCCTCCTCCTCCTCCGATCTTTTCTTCCTCTCAGACGACGACGGCGGCCGCGGACGTCGGCGGCCGCAGCGGCGGCGGCGACGACGACAACGCCACGACGGCTGACGGCGGCCTCGGCCTCGGCCTCGGCCTGGGCTTGGCCTGTCTCTGCAGGCCAGCGCGGTGACTGCGTACAACGTGAAGCACGTGTTCGAGCACCTGTTGCAGGTGCCTCGGAGGGGGGAGGAGGTAGGAGGGGGGGAGGAGGGCGGAGGGTGGAGGAGCAGGAGGGAGGATGAGGAGGAGGCGGAGGAGGAGGGGAGGAGGAGGAGGAGGAGGGGAGGAGGAGGAGGAGGAGGAGGAGGAGGAGGGGAGAAGGAAGCAGCAGGAGCAGCAGGAGCAGCAGGAGCAGGAGGAGGGAGGAGGGAGGAGGGGGAGGAGGAGGAGGAGGAGGAGGAGGAGGAGGAGGAGGAGGAGGAGGAGGCAGAGGCGGAGAGGCGGAGGGGAGGCGGAGGCGGTGGCGGAGGCGGAGACGGAGGCGGAGGCGGAGGCGGAGGCGGGGCGAGCGGAGGCGGAGGAGGAGGAGGAGGCGGCGGCGGAGGAGGGAGGAGGAGGAGGAGGAGGAGGAGAGTTGGAGGAGGAGGAGGAGGAGGAGGAGGAGTAGGAGGAGGGGGAGGGGGAGGAGGAGGCTGTGAAGGAGGAGGAGGAGCAGGAGGAGGAGGAGGAGGAATACAAACAATAATATTTACAATGGCAAAAATAATCATAATGATAAGACTATGAATAAGCATAGTACGAGTACTATGAAGATGAAGAAGACAACTCATAACAGTACGAATGCTACTCATCATAATATTAGTAATGCGAAGACGAATAACAATACTACGAATCATCGTCGTATTAATAATAATACTTTTACTAAGCAGAAGACTATTCCAAATAATAATAATAAGCAGAATAATATTATGAAGAATAATCATAGCACGAATAATAAGACTACTACTAATACTACTACGAAGAAGAACACGAAAAAAGAGGAGGAGGATGAGGAGGAGGAGGATGAGGAGGATGAGGAGGAGGAGGAGGAGGAGGAGGAGGAGGAGGAGGAGCGGAGGAGGAGGAGGAGAGGAGGAGGAGGATGTGTAGTGCGGAGATGGCGGTCAGGTGGCGGGGGAGGAGCGGGCGGTAGCTGCGGAGCGAGGGGCCGGAAAAGGGGCGGGAACGCAGGCTGCGCGAGGCCTGGGGAATTGGGGGCGGGTGTCCTCCCGAGCGGCAGCGCGCCCGCCGAGGAAATCTACAACCAGTCGTCGAAGGGCAGGGGCAGAGAGGCCCCGAGGGGGAGGGGGAGGATGGGGAGGATGACGGGGCGGAGGAGGAGGGGTAGGAGTGAAACGGGGGATAAGGAGTCGAGGGGTTCAAAGGGAGGCGGCTGCGCGAGGGGTTTCGGCGTGAGTTCGGACTGTTTCTGTGCAAAACTCTGCTCTGTGTCGTCCTCCTCTCCTCCTCCTCGCCCTCATCCTCTCTCCTCTCCTCTCTTCCTCCTCCTCACTCCTCCTCCTACTCTCTCCATCCTACATCTACCCTCCTGCTCAACCTCTCGCCTTTTTTTTTTTTTTCTCAGCGCCCCCCCCCAGAAAAAATAAATCGAAAAAAATAATGGTTTTTTTTTTTTTTTTTTTTTGTTTTTCGGGTGCGGGTGGGGGGGGGGCGCCAGGAGAAAAAAAAGAAGGAATGCGACGTGACCACATCTGCCCTCCCCCTAGAAGGATTCCTATTGGACGCCCCCATAAGAAGGATTCACAGTAAAATCCTCGACAGAAGGGTTCCTATCGAAACCCTCGACTGAATGATTTCTACCGAAATCCTCCACATGTGGATTCCTACTGAAACCCTCCACTGAATGATTCCTACTGAAATCCTCGAATGGCAATGGCAATGGCAATGGCAATGGTAATGGTAATGGTAATGGTACTGGTAATGGTACTGGTAATGGTTACGGTAATGATCGTGGTAACGGGGTAGCGAGGCAATGACAATGCCAATGGCAACGGTAATGGTAATGGTAATGGCAATGGCAATGGCAATGGGAATGGCAATGACAATGGCAATGGCAATGGCAATGGTAATGGCCATGGCAATGGTAATGGTAATGGTAAGGGTAGAGGTAAAGGTAGAGTTAAAGGTAATGGTAATGGTAATGGTAATGGTACTGGCAATGGCAGTGGTAATGGTAATGGTAATGGGAATGGGAATGGAAGTGGGAATGGGAACGGGAACGGGAATGGAAATGATAGTGGTAGTGGTAATGGTAATGGCACTGGTAATGGTAATGGTTCTGGAAATTGTAATAGTATTGGGAATGGGAATGAGAATGGGAATTCTAATGGTAATGGCAGCGGTAGCATCATGGTAATGGGAATGGGAGTGGAAATGGTACTGGCAAGGGTAATGGTAGTGACGAATGGCAATGGCAATGGTGATGGTAATGGTAATGGTAATGACAGAGGTAATGGTACTGGTACTGGTAATGGTAACGGTAAAGGTAATGGTAAGGGGGTAGCGATTGGCAATGGCAATGACAATGGCAACGGTAATGGTAATGGCAATGGCAATGAGATTGGCAATGGCAATGACAATGATAATGGCCATGGCAATGGCAATGGTAAGTGTAATGATAATGGCAATGGTAATGGGAATTGGAACGGGAATGGGAATGTGAATGGGAATAGAAACGGGAACGGGAATGGAAATGGTAGTGGTAGTGGTAACGGAAATGGGAATGGTAAGGGTAAGGGTAAAGGTAAAGGTAGAGGTAAAGGTAATGGTAATGGAAATGATAGTGATAATGGTAATGGTAATGGTCATGAGAATGGGAATGGTAATGGAAATGGTACTGGCAATGGTAATGGTAGTGGCTAATGGCAATGGCAATGGCAATGCGAATGGTAATGGTAATGACAGAAGTAATGGTAATGGTACTGGTAATGGTAACGGTAATGATAGTGGTAACGGGGTGGCGACTGGCAATGGCAATGACAATGACAACGGCAACGGTAATGGCAATGGCAATGACAATGGCAATGGCAATGGCAATGGCAATGGCAATGGTAATGGCCATGGCCATGGCAATGGCAATGGCAATGGTAATGGTAATGGCAATGGTAATGTGAATGGGAATGGGAACGGGAATGGGAATGTGAATGGGAATGGGAACGGGCATGGAAATGGCAGTGGTAGTGGTAACGGAAATTGGAATGGTAAGGGTAAGGGTAAATGTAAAGGTAGAGGTAAAGGTAATGGTAATGGTAATGGCAATGGCAGTTGTAATGGTAATGGTAATGGTAATGGTAATGGTATTGGGAATGGGAATGTTAATCGGAATGGTAATGGTACTGGCAACGGTAATGGTAGTGGCGAAGGGCAATGGCAATGGCAATGGTAATGGTAATGGTAGTGGCGAATGGCAATGGTAATGGTAGTGGCGAATAGCAATGGCAATGGCAATGGTAATGGTAATGGCAATGACAGTGGTAATGATAATGGTACTGGGAATGGTAATGCTGACGATAACGGTAATGGTAATGGTTATGGCAATGGTAACGGGGTAGCGATTGGCAATGGTAATGGGAATGGCAACGGCAACGGCAATGGCAATAGCAATGGCCATGGCAATGGTAATGGTCATGGTCATGGTCATGGTCATGGTAATGGTAATGGTAATGGTAATGGTAATGGTAATGGTAATGGGAATGGGAATTGGAATCGTAGTAGTATTTGGAACGGGAACGGGAATGGAAATGGTAGTGGTAGTGGGAAAGATAATGGCAATGGTAACGGAAATGGTACTGGTAACGGTAATGGTAATGGCAATGATGATGGGAATGGGAATTGTAATGGTGATGGCAGCGGTAATGGTAATGGTAATGGCAATTGTGTTGGTAATGCTAATGATAATGGCAATGGTAATGGTGGTGGCGAATGGTAATGGTAATGGGAATGGTAATGGTAATGGTAACGGTAATGGTAACGGGGTGGCTACTGGCAATGGCAATACCATGGCAATGGCAACGGCACTGGCAATGGCAATGGCAATGATAATGGCAATTGTAATGGCAATGGTAATGGCACTGGCAATTGTAATGGCAATGGTAATGGTAATGGTAATGGTACAGGTAAAGGTAAAGATAAAGGTAAAGGTAATGGTAATGGTAACGGTAATGTGAATGGGAATGGGAATTGGGATGGGAATGGGAATGGTAATGGTAATGGTATTGGGAATGGGAATGGAATGGGAATGGGAGTGGGAGAGATTGAGAGAGAGAGAGAGAGAGAGAGAAATCGAGAAAGGAAACATCAGCATAATGATGAGGAACAAACTGAAATATCGTAAATTTTCGTCTAAAACCCACAGCGACTCCACAATCCCCCGGCCTCGACGAGGAGGAGGAGGAGGAGGAGGAGGAGGAGGAGGAGGAGGAGGAGGAGGAGGAGGAGGAGGAGGGGGATAAGATGGGGGAGGATGGGGAAGAGGAGGAGGGGGAGGAGGAGGAGGAGGAGGAGGAGGAGGAGGAGGAGGAAAAAAAATGGCCTGGCGAAAGGCCCAACCATGTGCAGTTCTGAATACCGCAATTGTGAATATCTTCTTCGGTGGCGCTCCCTATGGGGCCACGAAGCGCTGTACTGGGTGGGTGAAACGCAGGGAGCAAGGGCTGTGCTGGGCGGTGGCGGACGCATGCGGGCGGTGCCATTGGGACCTTCGGTGGAGCCCCCTTATGGGGCCACGAAGCGTTGTACTGGGTGGGTGAAACGCAGAGAGCAAGGGCCGTGTTGGGTGGTGGCGGACGCATGCGGGCGGTGCCACTGGGACCTTCGGTGGAGCCCCCTACGGGGTCACGAAGCGATCTTGGGGGCCTCTTGGGCCGTCTTGGGTCGTCGGAAAGCCGAGAAGAAGCATTATGCAATAATTTATCTTTTTTTTTTTTTTTTTTTTTTTTGTTTTTTTTTTTTTTATTTTTTTTTTGTTTTATTTTTTTGTTTTTTTTTTTTTTTTTTTGTTTTTTTTTTTGTTTTTTGCTTGTTTTTTTTTTTTTTTTTTGTTTTTCTTTTTCTTTTTTGTTGTTTTTTTGATTTTTTTTTTTTTTTTTTTTTTTTTTTTTTTTTTTGTTTTTTTTGTTTTTTTTTTTTTTTTTTTTTGTTTTATTTTTTTTTTTTTTTTTTCTTTTTTTTTTTTTTTTTTTTTTTTTTTCTTTTTGTTTTTTTTTTTTTTTTTTTTTTTTTTTTTTTCTTTTTTTTTTTTTTTTTTTTTCAAACACTTAGGGAAATTCAATGATTTTTGGCCTCTTAGGGCCGGCCTCTGAGGACACCTGTGGAGACGGCGCCGACGTCTTGGAGGCCTCTTGGGAGCCTCTTGGGCCGTTTTGGGCCATCTTGAGGCCATCTTAGGCCGTCTTGGGTGCATCTTGGGCCATCTTGGAGGCATTTTGGGGCCATCTTAGCCGTCTTGGAGGCCATTTTGGCCGTCTTGGAGGCCATCTTAGGCCATCTTGGAGCCGCTTGGAACGGAAAAAGCCTTTGCAACCATCTCTGGAAGATCTTTCGGTATCCTTCCGGGTGGCCGGCGGGACGGGCCGAAGCCCCAGGGGGAGTTCTTTTGGAAAAAGAACCAAAACCAAAACCGAGAGGATCCAGCACGCCAGGCACCCCTTTTATACATCAAAAGGGGGCGGCGGATACCTGGCAGCCTTGGGCCCATCCCGCCACCGTGCCTGGGTTGTGGGTATGAAGCCTATTGGATGTTCGTTGGCGTCTCGTGGGAGGCCTCTCGGGCCCTCTTGGAGGCTGTTTGGAGGCCTCTTGGGGGCCGTTTTGGGGCCTCTTTGGGGTCTCGTGGGAGCCCCTTTGGGTCCTTGTGGGGGCCTCTTGGGGGCCTCTTGGGGGCCTCCTGGGCGTCCCTTGGGGCCTCCTGGGGACCTCTTGGGGCGGAAGGCTCGGATTTTCCGTTCGTGTTCCCTCTCTTGGGCTCCTTTGGGGGCCGTCTTGGGGCCATCTTGGGTCGTCTTGGGGGCCTCTTGGGCCGTCTTGCGTCGCTCGTAGCCCGCCTTGGGGCCCTTTTGGAGGCCTCTTGGGTTTCGGGTGATTTATCTGCTCCTGGTGTTTCAAACGTTTTTTTTACAGTAGCAGCACATGGTTTTCATTGATTATCAGTGTTTTGATACAGAAAAATAGTTTTGAGATCAGACAGCCCCTGTATACTAGGAAGCCAATGTGGATCCCTGAGTACCATATGGTTCCACAGCCCCACAATTTTTTCTTAGGCCATAAACAAACC